TTGTCTGGCCTAAATGAAAACACATGTCTGGCCTGTAGCTCTGCATGGCTCACAGAGGTGCTGACACTGTAAACAGGGTGGGGGGAGCAGCCTGGCTGGGTTCTTGGGAGGGCCCCAACCCCTCTGCAGATCTTTCCACCCAAGCACAGCCTGACTGCTGCCCCAGCAGGCCCCCTCCCTCCCTGGCAGGGCTGGGCCCCCCAGCAGAGCAGTGCCAAGGCATGGCACAGGGATACAGGGGGCACCAGGACCCCCAAACCACAGCAGCCAGGCCCAGCTCTGAAGCCATACCTGCTGGCAGACCTGTCCTAGGGGCAGCGTTAAAGGGGGCCAAAGTGGGGACAGCACAGAGCCAAACACCTGTCCTGGTGTGAGGAGATGCTGCCCTGTGACCTGAGCAGGCCTGAGCCAGGTCAGTGTGGGCAGGCCAGGAGCCACAGCCCCCTTAGTCAGGGGTCAGGAGGGCCCGGGCCAGCAAATGCCCCTCTGACACTTGTGGCTTCTGAAACCACATGAGTTCCTCCTGGGGGCCACGGGCTGCGGCAGCGATTTCACAACACGCTGGCGAGCTGGGGAGGCTCCCTGGCCAAAGCCCTGGGCTGCTGCAACGCTTCTCAGCTGCTGCTGCTGCCTCTGGGAAGCAGAGCTGCACTCCTGGCTCTGGGAAGCAGAGCTGCACCGAGCATGGCACCCCTTGCACTGCATGGCTGCACTGTTGCCAGCTCCCCGCAGCTCCTGCCCAGGGCTCAGCTCTTCCCAGGGCTGACAGCTCTGGGGCTGGAAGCATTTCTGGGGTCAGAGCCATGTGCAGCCAGGCTTGGAGAAGGCAGACGGCCAGCACACACACACCCCTCTGAGGGTGTGGCCTGGGAATGGCACCAGGATGGGCTCACTTTACATCTGGCCACAGCTGTGGCCCCATCACCCACACCCCCTGCCCCATAGGCACAGCCACTGTGCTGGAGCCACAGTGGTGAGGGAACTGCTGCATCCCCCGTGGTCACAGGAGCAGAGGGACACAGACACTGCTCCCTCCCATGCGAGACCTCTCTCTGGAACAAAGAGAGGTCACCACTGGCCCGTCACCCCAGGCACCACCTCACCCACTTTATGGGAAAAGGGAAGGAAATCCAGCTTCTCAAAAAAAAGCCTGATGAAATGCCCCCAGTGTGACCCTCTCTGGCTGCACACCCCACTCCACCCGGGGAGCCCCATGGCACACAAGGCACAGCTGTAGAGCTGGGGCTCAGCTGCAACCCCAGAGCATGGACATCACCAGAGCCACTGCAGATGGTTCTGTTGCAATCCAGGGCTGGGCACTAAGGGCTGCACTGGGGCCTGCCCAGGACCTGGACGTGTCCCCGGGCCGGGAGCACCCTGTGGTGGCGGTCCCTTGCCACCAGGTGCCACTGCCGAAACACTCGCACCACACCTGCTGCAGCTCAGTCAACACTTTACAGGAGAGTCCGGGGCCAAGGACAGAGCTGGGAGCGCTGCCTGACATCCCTCAGGGACCCGGGCTAGGAGCAGGCTAGCAGGGCCTGCCCACACGCCTCCGCTCGCTCCAATGTCTGTTAAATAAACTCAATGCCCTCGTACTTGACGCTCCCAATCCTGGTCTCGGGCAGCAGGAAGCGCCCGTCCAGCGTGAAGGCCATGATGTAGCTGGAGATCTTGCCGTTGTCCTCCTCCGACTTCAGCGCCACGATGATCTGGTCGTCGGTGTCCGGGATGAACTTGAAGGAGGAGAAGCCGTGGGTGGGCACCACGTCGCCCACGCGGCCCACGGTGACGTG